CCCCAAAACCCCAAAACCCCAAAACCCCAAAACCCCTTATTTGGTTAGCCAGGTTGATACGTCATTGAATTTAAAAATCGCCACTTTTACAATAAACGTCATAATTTCTCAAAATTTTAAATCTGGGATTTTTAGAAATTTTTGAAATTTAAGATAGGTGCAGAGAAATTACTCCTGTAGAATATCAAAAACACTTGAGTTGGTAAGAAAGCAAAGGTAAAGAAAGCATTTTAAAGCTAAAATTTTAAGAAATTAACCTAGGGAATATTATAGATAGCAGCTACAATTTATGAAGCGCATTCTTCGTGATCAGCTTTGATTCAGAGTTCTTAATAAATTCCTCTCTAAATTCTTCATCCACAGTAAAGTCGAAGTTCATAGGCTTGTTGAACTTGTCTTCGTAGAATCGGTTAAAGAACTTCATGAAAGTTTCCATGTGATCACCTGTGAGTTTAGGAATCTGATGCCCTTTCTCATGAATAATGGCAGTCGAGTCTCCTGTTTGGCAAATAGCCAAATTATGTCCCTTAATGATAGGGTCTTTCTTGCCATAAATATACAAGACTGGGCATTCATAGTTACCTTCATTCTTGTCTTTAAAAACATGCTCATGAGGAACTGCAGAGCCTACCAAAGAGACAAACTTAGGAGTGATCTTAATTTCAGGCATTCCAATTGCATCAGCCTTCATCATCGTCCTAATCAAGTATCCTCCTTGTGAAAAGGCAATGATGCCATCGTACTCTCCATTATTCTCAAAATGATCCTTGATCATCTTACAACTCTCTACAAATCCTGAGTAAGTTTTAGTTTTCTGGTCATAAACAGTCCACCTATAGAACGGACCTTCGAATTTCTCCTTAATCCTTGGATCATAGACCTCATCTCATTCATAAGGAGCATTGAGGTAATCAAACTCAATATAATCCCTAAAGATATACTCATAATAAGCAAACTGGTGCTTCATAACCTGCACATTATTATAAAACCCATGCAAGCACAAAATTCTCAACTTAGCCATTTTATTCCAATTAAAATTAGCAGTTGTTTCGTTCAATTTGAGAGATTGGAGCGGGGTTTTGGGGTTTTGGGGTTTTGGGGTTTTGGGGTTTTGGGG